AGGGTCAGGCCCAGGGATTGACAGCTGATTAAGCACCACAGCTGAATCTAATTCACATTAAAGTTTGAGAATAATGCCTAATCCTTCAATGAATTTCATACAGCTTATTTAATATTATTTTCTCTTTTATGTAGTATTATTGTTCTTCATTGTTGCTAACATCATTAACTTTTATCTACCATTAAAATTATTTTTTCCTAGGGCTTTCACAGTCTTATTCCCTCTCATTTACAAACCTACTTATTCAGCCATAAACTATTTTAGAGACAACAGAGAGTAACAGAAGAAATATAATGGGCTTTAGAATCAAACCTCTCCAGGCCTGTTTTCTCATTAATAATTTAAAAGTAATACATAAAATACTGGACATGAGGATTAATTAGATGATATATGTAAATCACAGAGCACAGCGATGGGATAAATGTACACTCAATACATGTTAATTTTATTTCTTTTGTTCTTTCCAGTAACTAGAGGTATGTAATCTGCATCTCTTACTCAAGTTTCTAATAATTTTACTCTGAATAACAAGGACACAGACCATCTTGCTTAGTGCCATATTGCAGACAGGGGAGGGAAGAGTATAGCTCTGTCTGTATAGAGATAGAGGTCTAAATGGAAAGGACAGAAAAAGAAAGAATGGTAGACTCTCCTGCTGCAGAAACCAATCTCCAATAAAATAAAAGAACCCAGGTGGAGCTGAAGATGTTGGTAACACTAAAAACTGCATTAAACATCAGATGATGTAATATTTTAACTCAAAAAAGTTATTCTACATAAAATGTGACCCAAATTAAGTAATGTATATACAAGATGTTCCAGAAATTATAATACTTTATTGTCTAAGAAAGTGAAAGAACAAAATCAAGATGAACTTATTCTTGACAATGATTGATTATTAAATTAACTGGAGAACAAACTATCTATTAAAGAGGGAAGCAACTGCAAATATATACACATAATATTTTTGAAAAATATAGTTCAAGTAAATAAGAATAGGGAAAGGAAATAGATTACAAATCTACTTAAAAGCTAACTCAATTATTTGTTATTCTGTGCAATTTAGTGGCAAATTTAAAAATAAAAATTGGCAGGAATTGTTAACTTAGCTTAAGCTCCTAAAGCTATAGAAAACTGCACCAAATATATCAATAAATTCCTTTCTCTCTCTGCAGACCTCTAATTGCAATGAAAAGAAGAGTAAATTAAAGACCCAAATAACTGCAGAAGCAGTTTGACCACTTTTATTTCAAAGTTGGAATTATTTTTCCAGGAAACCATTGCAAATAGAAATGTGTTTGGAAGTCTCCACATCAGCGTAATTCAACATAATGAGCTGACATCTCTTCTTTGAGCCTCAGTTTTCTCATCTGTAAAATGATTATAAGAATTCATACCTCACAAGGCTAGGCATGTGGCTCAGTGGTAGAGCACTTGCCTAACATATGCAAGGCTCCAAGTTCAATCCCAGCAAAGGAAAGAAAAAAAGAATTCACACCACACTAACAATATAAAAAGCACATCAGACAGTAACTAGCCAATGCTAGTGCTCCTTCCAACCTTTCCTCTACAGCACAAACTGCCCCAGATAATATAATATCCAGATTTTGGTATTTATAATCTTCCTAAAAGTTTCTAAATGGTAAAACAACCAAAGAAATGAAAAATTGTGCTCCATATGTGTACTATGAATTGAAATGCATTCTACTGTATGTATAACAAATTAATTAATTTAAAAAGTAATAATAAAGGACAGAAGTAATTTGCTTTAAATTTCTTAAATGTGTGATTACAAAGAGGATATAGGCAAACATTAATAGTTACCAAAGACTAAGAAGACTTCTAGTAATTGTCCCCCAGTCCTCTCTTTACTGAGTACCTGTGACTGATTAGTTCAGCTGACTAGATTACAAGGCATGAACCTTATTTAAGAGAGCCATTTGATCTTGATGCACCCTGATACAGTTTGTATGTGTTTGTATGTGTTGTATGCTTAGCTTCTTTCTGTTTCGGAGAACTCTAGGTATGTAGTTTTAAACGATAAGGAAATTTTTGTTATTTCTTTAAATATTTTTTTTCTGCTCTCTCTCTTTTTGGGCCATTAGTTGCATGCTTGCTAGATTTCCTGACATTTTCCCACAGGTCACTAAGACTGTACACTGGTTTTCAATGTGTGGGTGTGTTAGGGAAGATTTGAATAGTTTCTGTTGTTCTTTAAATTCATTGCTGTTTTTTTTCCTCTAATAACTACTTATTAATACACAAAAGCAGTGAAATTTTCATTTCAGGTATCAGCTTTAAGAGCTCCACCTAACTCTTTTGACATCCTCTATTTCTCTTATCAGAATGTTCATATTTCCTTTAAATCTTTGAACATTTTTATAATACTGTTTTAAAGCCCTTATCAGAGAATCCCCTCAGTCCTGAAGTTTGAGTCTGTTCTTATTTTATATTTTATTCCTGATAGAATAAAATATAAAATAATCTGATTATAGATTACAACACTTTTCCTGTCTACTAACTTTGCGTTTTATGCATAATGCTATTATGGAGTATCCAGATTTTGTTGGTTTCAATTAAAGAAGGTTAAGTTTTTATTTCGGAGGCAGATTTCAGCTTGATGTTTCTTAGACTTAAAATTTTTATAGTTCATCTAAAGGAGTACTATTAGAAATAGTTAAGCCCTGCTATCAAAAAGTAGTCCTTTGAGTGTCTCTCCTGAAGTATCAGGTGAGATTCAAATGTCTCCAACCCCCTGTAAGCCCCAGAAATTACTCAGTACACACATTTGCCTTGCAGTGGTTCTTTCTCTGGCAGTTGTTCCTTGTTCTGAATGTAATAGCCTGCCCTCTTGCAGTGTTAAGCCTGTCCATATCTGGCTGGGACTTGGAAGTGATCAAGAGAAGAACTTATTCAAGTACCACTCTGATTAAATTGTGTAAGTTTAGTATACAGCAGCAAAGTAATTATAGGCTACTTGTAACAAAAATTCAGATAACTCCATGCTGCCTCTGGACGAGTTTGAACTTCCCATTTGGGTCATCTTACTGATCAGCCATATGGAGTTCTAACTATACAGGTCCCCCAAGGAGGTGGTTTTGTGGAATTTAAGAGAGACTTAACTTGTAAATTCTCTGTAGAGGTTGAATCGCATAGGCAAGAAAGACTTTTGTCTAGAGAATCAGCTAGTAGCCTTCCTGGAGGCCAAGACTCATCTATTTGAAGGAGACGAATGGTGCATGGGTGGCCCATGAGCCACTCTGCTACTTGTATGTGGTCCTTTCTCTCCCTGAAATTTAAGATACCTTCACAGAGTTATGTGACATTAGAGACCATAATGTCTAAACATGCATTTTAAAAGATTGGCTCATTTTTTTTTTTTACTGGTGTCTGAATACTAGCAATTATATTTATCCTGCCTAGCAGACAGGCATGACCTGAAACAGACAGGAAAGGCAGATTTAGTCTATGAAGATGTACATATTTGTTTCAGCTGATATGATATAAAGAAGGAATGCAAGAATACCAATTTCTTCTTTAACAATCCATCTTAGACATTGGCACCCTTTTTATGTCCTATGTGGTACCTTTTAAGGAATCACTCACCAGCTATAATGAGCTGCCTTTCTTAGGTTTTGTCATTTCCACTAAACAGATCTAGGCAATGGGCAACAGAAGCCAGAGATGAGCCCAGGGACACAGCAAAAGACCTTATTGCTTCCTAGGATTGATGAATATAGATGTCAATTCCCATAACGGGAAAGTCAGGGTATCAAGGGATGGTAGGCATAAATCATCACCACTCTTAGTAAAACTAGACACAAATCCTGGATGGTTTATGATTGAGAGAAGAGTTCCATTTGGAAAAATACCAGTATGAATCATAGCCCAGAACTTCATTCAGATTTATATTCTTCTAGAGCAGTGGATCCTAACTATTTGAGACATGTATGTGCTTGAGAATCTCATGAAAATTTTGTGCCCCTTTTACAAAAATATTTATAAGCATAGAATATTGGTGTCTTTAAATTCCTCTTACTGATCCCAATACACAAAGATGTGTGCACACACACCCACACACATGTACACATACTAGCAAAGAACCATAAGCTTCAGGTAATAAATGACCCTTAAATCTTCCTAATTAATGGCAATACTACCATGAGGACTGTAAGAGTAGGACATTGATTCTCCTTCAAAATTCTGACAAAGATGAAAAAGTAATTCTTCTATCGCCAAGTCATAGCTTAAAGGAACTAAGACTCAATGAAGACTAGGGGACAGAAAAGCAAAAATAAATACAAAGTAGGTTAGAACCACAGAAGCTGGCTTGCAAGGCATGGCTGTCCTCCAGGGATACTGGCTCTGTCACCTTAGTTCTGCAAAGCAAAAACTAAATAAAGAGAGACACAAAGAAAAAGATAATAAAAAAAATGTTAGCTGCTTTGAAGGACAGAAAAGGAAGGGTCCCTTGGCCTTCTGTTACCTTCTGGGGTTTCTATAAAGATGGTCCCTAATGGGCTTTCATATAACTTTATAACCAAACCTGAAGTAGTCATAAATACATACAAAATTTTCATGTTTTTTTTAATATTAATAGTTCAAAGCCTAGGCTATGAACTTAGAGAAGAGCTAACAGATAAGAATAAGAACACACCATTAGTCAGGGTTCTCCAGAGAAACAGAATAAGATACATAGATATATCCAGCTCAGGAGGACAGAAATCCAGTTATATCTTAAAAGCCATCAAAAGAAGATGAGAAAATCTGGCAGGTTCAGAGTATAAGGCCCTATGAACCAATAAAGAAGAGAATTTATTAAGATGAGATGGCAAAGAATACCACTTTGTATAGACTTATTTGTTTTGTGTGTCAGCTTGACTGGGTTAAGGATTGCCTACATAGCTGGTAAAACATGTTTTCTGAGTGTTCTTGTGAGAGTGTTTGAAGCCGAAATTAACATTTGAATCAGTCGACTGGTTAAGAAGATCTGCTCTTACCATCATGGGGCCTCATGAAAGCCCCAATAAAACAGAAGGTTGAGGAAGGTCAAGTTTTCTCACTTTGAGCTGGGATATCCATTTTTTCCTCTCCATATTTTTCCCCCTGGCTACAGAGCTCCTATTGCTCAGGCTTTAAGACTCTAGAACTTACTTACAAAGGCATTCTTCAGACTTGGATTACATCACTAGTTTTTCCTGGTTCTCTGGATTGCAGAAGGATTCTGCCTCTGTAATCATGTGTGACAATCCCTGTAATAAATTTCCTTTTATATAGCTAAGCCTTTTGGTTCTGTTTCTCTGGAGAACCCTGACAAATATAACCTTCTTATTTCACTACTCTTTGGATATAGGAAAGAATATAAAGTACTGGAAAAGTGGAGCAATTAGTAAAGTCATGTAAACTGGGGCTGTCTTAGGGATGGCTGGATATATGGGGGAAATGTAAGGTTTTGGAGCCACTTGAGGGGACTTAAGTCATTTAATGAAAACCCGTGCTTTTAAAAAACTGATTACAAATGCAGGAGGGTATTCAAACATTTGAGAGATGAGAGTGCTCAGCCTGTAGGCACTTTCTGTGAAGAAAAACCCAGGGCTGACAAAAGCACCAGGGAACCAGCTCAAACACAGAGGATGTGTCAAGGTGACAGGGCCTGAATCTCGTACTGTGAACTCTTTCAGAAAGACAGCATGCATAAAATCATGTGTTCTTTTGTTTAGTGCTAAGATAGGCTTTCCATCCTTCATCTCTTGCAGCCAGAAAGAAGAGAAAACTTAAATAGAGAATCACAGACTTGGAAGAGCCCTTAGAGATAATCCAGTCAAACTTTCATTTTACAGTCGAGGAAACAGTGAGGCCAGAGGAGATAGAGTGATTTGCTCAAGGTCACATGCGTGGTTGGTTCATGATGAATTGAGAATTTAAACCCTTAAGTCACCTCTTCCAGTCGAATCCTCTTTCAAAGTACTTTCATTTTTATCTGTGCCACAGATTTTTTTAAAAGCCATTGTAACGGCAAAAATTTGATGAACAGAGACAATTTACTGTCATGGATGACCTTTCTGTAGGTTTATCTGATCTCTTTTACATTTCAACATCTGTCCTAAGAACTCATAAAATCAATGAGTGATCATGCATGGTAGGACAGTCCATATCTGCATTTGCAAATTAGTCAATTCACTTGCATAGGACCTGTGCTATGAAGTGAACATTTTTGAAGTTACCCCAATAAGGGATTTAACCATTGTAAACAAATACCCACGTGTGTAGAATTTTTATAAACATTTAGAATGTTGACTCACAATCATAAGGAAGTTCCTAACACAGGGTATTTTACTATTACGAGGGTGATTTTCTCTTTGCAATTAACCCATGATAAGGAGAAAAATAAAAATTCAACACAAATTCAAATTTCTCTTCACATAAAGGCAAATCTTGACTTCTCATGGTTTGCAAAGAAGAAAGCCCCCAGAATGTCATAAAATGTCACAAAACCTCATGAACAAAACCCAAGAGCACTGACTGTCTAACCATTATTCATGATAACCGCTATTAAAATCATCCGTGAGCAGGAGAAATTTTGTTTTGTCTTAATTTACAGAAATTTTGAAAACTAGAATTCATTTACAGTACAATTTGCCTGAAAAAGAGGAAGGTGAGTTCTTGCCTGAAAAAGATAGGAATGTGCAAACATGGTGGTACACACCTGTAGTGCCAGAGACTCTAGAGGTCCAGCAGGAAAATTGAAAGTTTGAAGCCAGCCCAGGGAACTTAGCAAGATCCTGTCTTAAAATAAAAATATAAAAAAGGAGCTGGAGATGTAGTTCAGTGGCAGAACACTTGTCTAGCATGTACAAGGCTCTGCGTTCAATCTCGGTACAGTAAAAAGAAAGAAAGAAAAAAAGAAAGGAATGGAGGAATTCTATTAGGACTCAGGGAATTTATAAAAACTACTACCCAGATTATGAAGCATTCTTGCCATATAGAAAACAAGTAGAAGCAAAATGGCAAACAAAATGGCAATTGCAGTATATTCTACCCTTGGGTTTTGGTCTGTGAATTCACTGGCATGTTATTTACATAGAAAAGCAAATGGAACCGTCAAGTAATTATAGGTAACGGTAAATGCAAAATAAATGGTAGCAAATGCTTACAGTAGTTACTAAGCTTTTGTTTTGCTGCTTCTCCCACCATGTCTCCTATAACCTCTCAACTGAGTACAGAGGGTGCCAAGACACAAGAGTCCAGAGGGCAGAAGGAACACCTTAATCTTGATATTGGCATGGAGCATCCAAGCTAACGCTGAGTGTCAAAAGTATATTACTGAGAGAGATTTCACCTCCCACTCATTTATCTCTCTGATTCCTGCTGTCATAACATCACTAAAACTACTAAGGATCCCTGGAAGTTGTCCAATTTAATGAGATCCTTTCTGCAGGGACCTAACTTTCTTTGATATTATTTGGCATTTTTAACTTCATCCTTTAGAAACTCTTGACTTGAGTGACATTACGGGGACTTACCACAATGACCAATCCTCTCTCTCTTCTGCCAATCACTCTTTCCCAGGCCCCCTCTGGGTAGGCATTCCCAAAGAACCTCCTATGTCCTTAGTTCTCCCATGACATTAGTTCTCTTTTTGCAAATTCACCATTGGCCCTCTCCATGTAATTAGTCCTGTATTTGTCTAGATGATTAGAAAACATACACACTTTTAATATATTCCCAACAACCTAGTGATCTTTATTTGATGAAGAAGAAATCAAAAAACTCAAGACAGGTACAGTGACCTACTCAGGGTCACAAAACTAGAAAATGGTAAAGTCTATAAACTTAACTCAAGCACTGAAGTCCAGGGGTTTTTTTTTCATAACATCGTAAATGCCTCCAAATGACTCCCAAATATATATCCTCAAGACTCATCTTCTTCACAAAGTATAGAACAAATATTTTAGCCACTTATTAGAAAACTTTACATGAATATCTGCATGACTTGCTATTTTCCCCCAAATGCTTTTTTTCTTTGACCACTTTTTAAAATAATTTATATACCTGGCTATATGTGTTTGCAAACTTAGGGTTACTTCTCCAGTATTGATTTGCTACCAGTAAATTACTACATTATGAAAACTGCATCTGTCAGCAACTCCTACCCAATCCCTTCAGATCACAATTCCCCTGCCTTTTTCTGATTCTTGTATCCTCTTCCTATGAGGTCCAGGCTATGGTAGTAGAAAGGTACCATTGTATTAATAAAATATTAACGTCTTTACCTCCAGTCTTTCACCTCTGGAATGTCTTGAAAGACTCATGTGTTCAAGACTTGGTCTCTAGCTTGTGGTGCTATTTGGAGGTGGCAGAATCTTTAGGATGTGGGATATAGTAAAAAAAAAATGGATCACTGGGGTGTTCCCTGGAAGGATAAACCTCCCTGTCCCCTTCTCTCTCTTTCTCGGCTTCCTGACCACTATAAAGTGAGCAGCTTTGCTCTGCCACACTTTGCCCACCATGATGTTATGTCTCATCACAGACTTAAAAGCAGTAGAGTCAGCTGATCATGGACTGAAACCTCTGAAGTCATGAGCCAAAGAGACTTCACTCAAGTATTTTGTCACAGTGACAGAAAGATTTCCAATATACATGCCTTCACAGTGGCTCTTTGCTGCCATTAGAATAAAATCAAGATGCCCAACTTCTCCTATTGTGAGGCTCCTGTCTATGCAGAGCCTCATCATCCATGAACTTTCCCACTTAGAGCATGCACTCTACACTGAACCACCCTGAACTACTGAGGGTTGCAATAAAAATATATTCCAATGGTAGGTACTTACTATGGTTTTAACTCTTGAAACAAACAAATAAAATTCATATTGAAATTTAATCCCCATCTCCATTTTGTTGAAGTATTAAGAAATGGGACCAGGAAAAACTTTACAGAGGTGATTAAGTCATGGGGGCTCTGCTATCAGAATGGATTGATCTACTTGTAGATTAACAGATTAGTGGATCATCACAGGAGTAGCTTTGCTAGTAACAGCAAGCTCGCTTGGGCTTGCTAGCTCTATCTTGCCATGTGATGCCCTCCACCATGTCATGACCCCACAGGAAGGGCCTCACCACATACTGACCAGGTGCCAATCTCATGCTCTTGCACTGCAGAACCTTGAGATAAATCAAACTAGTCTTTATAAATTACTTAGCCTATGGTATTCAGCTTTAGCAATAAAAGATGGTCTAAGACAGTGTTCAAAGATATTTACTAAGTTAAATCACAGCTGTCAGAGATGAATTCATTTTATCTTACTTTTTTATAGTCAAAAAATGCAAGTCCCTTCCTGCAAAGCCTCTATTCCTATTAGTTAACATTCATTGTTAAGTGTTCTAGAACCCTTTGCTTTCCCTGTTTGAATATCTGTATGTGCATATTTGCCTTCATTGCACAAATCAGTAACTCAAAAATTTGTAGACATCTGTTGTTGTATTTCAGCCAAGTCACTATATTGTATGCCAACCAAAATTATTATTAAAATGATGCAAAATTGGTGAGATACTCATTTTCCATGAAAAAAAATTTACCATAAATATTGAAAATGCATTGTAATAGTTTTTATTCTCACTCAATGAATAAAATAAATTATTCCATCTTTGCATAATAGCTAAGCTACATCTCCATAAGACTTTGATTTCAGACATTTATAAGTAAAGCAAAAAAATAATTTGTTAAATTTTCTCAGACTACATGTATTCTAATATTTATGAAAATAGAAGATGTGTAGGGGAAGACTCACATATTCTGAGATGCTAAGATTTCTTGGATTGTTACCTAGATAACCATGCTAAGAAAAAGATACCTAAAGGGTGACTTGGATATTAAGTCATTAAAATAAAACCTTCATTTGTGTTGTGCTTCACCCCAAAATGTTAGTCTCAAAAATGAGTCAAATTATCCCATGCTGTATCACGTCTGTAGTGGCTCATTTAGCCCACTGCACAAGTGGGAAAAGAAAAGTAAAAGCAAAATCTCCTGCTGATTGCCATTTTATTCAACATACAATAGTGGACAAATGACCCAGAGAAAAATTCATCTTACATAATCACAATGTT